ATTGTTATTTCGTTATTGTTCGAGTTATCAGTCTGTTGTATGGCTTGACTGCTGAATAACAAACGATTTTATTTTATATTGTTAATTCGTTATTGTTCGAGTTATTGTTACAGCTAATATTAACCAATATGATTTATTTTCGTCAATACATACTTCATTTATAGTTGTACTTTACTAATATAGATAGAAAATAGAGGTTGTCAAAAACTTACTTGTATACTGTAATAATAAAGTTCTGGAAAAGTGAATGATTATTTAAACATTTAAAAACTGCATTTAGTAATTAAATATTCTAATTTAAGCCCCCAAGTGGCACAGCGGTACGTTTGAAGGCTTACGACACTAAAAACCGGGTTTCGATACCCGAGGCGAGCACAGCATAGATATCTTATTGTGTAGCTTTGTGCTTAATTACAAACAAACAAATTTTAGCTTAAAAGCTTTGAAGCTGTTTAATGTAGTTACATCTAGTAACTAGAGATAATATGGATTTAAATATCATTAGTTTTGTTTGTTTTAGAGCAAAGCCACATTGGGCTATTTGCTGTGTTCACCGAGGGGGAATCGAACCCCGAATTTTAGAATTGTAAGTCTGCAAACTTAGCGCTCTCCCACCGGAGGACTAATATTATTAACTAAGTTGTTTGTGGAAGTATCTCCGTTTCCCAGACAATATATACTACAGCTAACTCTACAAAGGCTCATTTGAAGATTCGTTTTAGTAATGGTGTTTGATTATTTTTCTAAATAGAAGATTAAGAAGCATTCATTGTGGTTATACAAAGTCCTAGATTTTCATTTAACGAAGAGTTATTATGTTTCTCTAACCTTATAGATCATCGAAAATGTAGGCATTTCTCAAATTCTGTGGGAAAAAAATGCTTGAAAACCAAGAGAGACAGGTATTACTGAGTGGTTAATGTGTCAAACTTGAATTCGAGAGTCAGCTGCTCGTTTCCCTTCGCCGCAAAATTGTGCTCCGCATTTTAGTGTCATGGGTGCATTATACGAGTGGCCGTCCAATCCTATTATTCGATTAGAGTAGCCCACTAATTCGTGTTGGATACAGTTTACCAGCTACCTTCTTCTAGCCTATTAGTTCAAAATTAGGGACTGCTAGCACAGATAGCCTTTGTGTAACTTTTCGAGACTATTAAAATACTAATGACTAAAAACAAGGAAAGAAAAAGAAAGCCACGTTTATGTTTGAACGAAAAATCTCCACTGCACATGCAAAACAAAACAAAACTGAATTGTTAGAGTTTAGTTTCACATGTGACAAGTCTTGTCTGTGTAGGTTTCGTACCTTGCAGGTAAAGAAAATAAATAGATTCTGTATTTAAGACTGTTTATAAAAGGCATGCTTTAATGATCAGCCTTAACCCTTAAATTACCGACTTGTTTTTATATCATTCATTAACGGTGTACCACATTAAATAATTTTATATCTTTGCTTTGTACGACACTCATTATAAATAACTGATCAAAAACAATTGGGTAAAATAACTTATTTTCTATGTAAACTACGTAGGAAACTTCAACAGTAAATAGTGGATTAATTGGAGTACTGCTGGTATTATTTTTTTGTCTGACGCATAAGTTATTAGTGGTCTTGTAACGAAATCATGGACAACAAGAAATTTGTTGCATAAATAGTTTAGAAAATGCTTTAAAAAAGCCGACCGAGTTCATATAAACGTCATCGGTAATTCTAGGGTTAAGAAGCTTAGCGCACTTTTTTACATTGCATTCTTAAACTATCTAAAGCATGTTTAGTACACGCCAAAAAGTTAACTTAGGGTAATGTCCGTTTAAAGTGTTTTTTTTTCATAATTATTCTTGACAAATTCATTTTAAACTTCGAATAATTTTATCGAGACACGACAAAACTATCTTACTACAAAGATAACCCATTATATGTCTATGTCTGTGCGTGCGTGTGTTAAAATCCGTCATCCATAGATAGATAGATCGATTACCGGACTTTCTGGTATTGTAACTGGAAACTGTCCGGTGGTGTACATAGCTATTTTGTTTTAGGAGTATTGCCCAAGAAGGGTGGATAAAAACACTTGAAATAGGACACATTCCAAGGTACATGTACTTAAGCAGTAAAATGAGTCAAGTATTATTTTCCAGAAAGCTAGATATGCAATTAGCATCGAATGATGTTATTAGGGATGTAATAACTTATTTATTGTTATTGTTTGTAATTAAGCATAAAACTACACAAAGGGTTATCTGTGCTCTGCCCACCACGGGTATCGAAATCCGGATTCTAGCGTTGTAAATCCGCAGACTTGCCGCTGTGCCACTGGGGAGGGGTGGATATAATAACAAAAGAAAGCAGGAAGAGAACATTATCTAACATTGTCCTTTATACAATGTTCGCTAGTATTTACTAAAGTACGCTTTTTAACAGTTATATTTAGAAGATGTAGGAGCCATAAGAATATATTTTACTTTCATTAATTTTTGAAAGATTTATTATTATTTTAATATTCTAGTCAGGGCAAAGAAAGGTTAACACTTACAAAAAAGATGAAAAAGCTGGAAGTTTTAAAATGAGCTTCCAACGCATGTAACCTTTTTAAATTTATTTTTTTGCATGGCTGTTGATGAATATGTTCAGACGTATTTCGTTGTACATTTGAATTCCAGAAAAAACTATCTATTTTGAAGGCAACATCAGCATGCGTTTCATTAAACATTAGCTCTGAAATTAAACTGTCTTTAGTGTTGGGTATGAAAAGAACTACTTACAGGACACTCGAGGCTAAGGCTTTATCTTCCACCCAACTACAACAATTTGTAAATACGCCATACTTGTCTCTGATGTTCCAGATGTGTGGAAGAAGGTCAAACCTCTTGTGGTAGGTACTTCCGGGTAGAATGGGACAGTTTTCTCTGAAGAATAAATAACTATTTTTTTATATATATAAAAGTTTAGAACTTTAGTAAGTACAACATTAGTAAGTATTCTTAAGTACTTATAGTACTAGTTGTCTATTGGAGTAATTCACTTTGACATAGATTAATTTAATTTTTCTTAGAGAATTACGTCAAATATGCAAATATTCAGTAAACTTAGTATATAATATGTATATTATCAAGAATACGAAACCTTAAACATTACAGTTTATATACCAAACAATGTGATATTATCGCTCAGGGATAACAATAAAACTATTTTGTGTCTGCATCAAATAGACACTTAAAGCCTAGACGCTACAGTGATTGATGAAATAATCATTTTAGCTCTGTCTCTATGTTGCTCTGAAGTTTCAGGAAGCCATTTTTGGGTGAGATTTATTACAAAAACTTAATAAATAGCACTGTCTGAACATCTAGGTTTATAACTTGGTTAAAAGTGGCTATTATGAGGAGCAGGTTAACGAACTAAGCTTACTTCTTCATATATTTTTCTGTTTTGTTTTGAAGATATTCGGTGTGGTTTTATAAAAATATGACGTAAAGGCTAAAAAAAAAACAGTTGAGACAAACAATTATTTATCAATTTTTTTATCCCCATTATTAATTTTGATTGAATAAGTAAAGGGTTTTGAGCTTTATGAAGGCTGTCGACTGAAAGTATAGTGGGATGTGCAGACAGAGTGATCTAACTTATTCGATGTATCATAAAATGTTGATTGAAAGTATAGTGGGATGTGCAGACAGAATGATCTAACGTATTCGATGTATCATAAAATGTTGATTGAAAGTATAGTGGGATGTGCAGACAGAGTGATCTAACTTATTCGATGTATCATAAAGAGTCGACTGAAAGTGTAGGGAGATGTGCAGACAGAATGATCTAACGTATTCGATGTATCATAAAATGTTGATTGAAAGTGCAGGGAGATGTGCAGACAGAGTGATCTAACTTATTCGATGTATCATAAAATGTTGATTGAAAGTGTAGGGAGATGTGCAGACAGAGTAATCTATCTTATTCGATGTATCATAAAGTGTAGTGAGATGTGCAGACAGAGTAATTTAACTTATTCGATGTATCATAAAGTGTCGACTAAAAGTGTAGTGGTACGTGCAGACAGAGTGATCTAACTTATTCGATGTATCATAAAATGTCGATTGAACGTGTAGTGGTACGTGCAGACAGAGTGATCTAACTTATTCGATGTATCATAAAGTGTCGACTAAAAGTGTAGGGAGATGTGCAGACAAAGTGATCTAACTTATCTGATGTATCATAAGGGAATATAAGCTATATAGACATATATATTACATTTTATTTGATATCTTATGTTCCGTGCTACTTGACGAAGATGAGTCTTGAACAAGACTTTATTATTTTTCTAATGGCTTAAGTAGAAATAACTGAAAATGACAACAACCTCGACGTGTTATTTGTCTTTAGTATACCTATTAAAAATGACATAGACTTCGACGTGTTATTTGGCTTTAGTATCTATATACTACTAAAACTCTGAGATTGTTTGTTTGTTTGTCTGTAATGAAATACAGCAAAAACGGCGCACAATAGCCCCATATTTGTACTGAAATGAGAATAGAAACAGAATAAAACAAGTTTCGTTAAAATCGGGGCACGGGTTACCGAGTTAGCGCCGTTTTTCGGGTCACTTTTAAGAAAATTTCTAGCATGAGTAATTTTACATCACACTACCGTTCGCGCTCTTTACGAAACTTCTTCGTTCAAATCTATTTCCCTGTCAATGTTCCCATCTTTATTCAAAGGCATAAGATGACAAAAACAAGATCTTGAAGAATTTATCAATAATGTGCCTTAGTTATGGTAGGTAATTCGAAGAAAAAATAAAGTGTTACTGTATCTTATTTGTAGAAGGTTTAGAAAGACCACAACATAATGAACTAATTCATCACAATACCTGAAAACTCTGACTTCACTTTTTTGAAAAATGAAATGCACTTTACTTTTACTCCCGATCAACAATCAAATATCTTTTCTTGAATTATGAATAACATGAATGGATTGAAATATTTAATTAAATTATCTCAAAATAAACCTTCGTTTCTGTGCAAGATTGAAATTAGCTTGAATTCTTCATAACCTCTGAATTGTGGGTGACCCAACGGGTCACGGGTTGTCTAGTTAAATACTAAAGAGCAGGGGCAGCGCCAGCCTCTTCCCGATGAACGGGCTACATTGTACATCCAGTAGTATTTATGAGGGGAACCTGCTTTAATTAATAGCCAGCAATGTTCGTTGTTTCAGACTCATAACGTAGGTGAATTAATATGAAGAATTATACACGTACTTTTTTCTACGTTAAAATACTTTTATATGCTAGCTTTCGGCCCTTTACTGGATCCTTCATTAAGAGGACCGAAAGCTCTCAAATAAAACATTTTAACGTATACAAAAGTTCATGAATAATTCTACATAGTAAGCAATGTTCTTTCGGTTCGTGGGATATAGGAGAGGCTGAAACACATTCTGGTGTAGCTTCAGTTCGAGCAAGCCCTCCCTTGCTAAAAAGAAACAATTCTAGGTTATCTTTAGGGAAAGTGTATATTGCCAAAAATGAAGGAACAGAAAGTCTAATTCTTGTTAACATCTCGCTATTTACTTCCCTCTAGTAATCATCAGTTTATCTTACAAATCACATCTCGATTAACTCAAATGTGTGAGAATAAATATTAAGCTAGTAAATTAAATTTATTAATAAATTAGGAATTTTAATTTTTCTCTTGACTTCAATTCAGTGTAACATGAAAAATTCAATTATTATAAAAGAGGTTCATTTTCTTCTAATCGTACGGTTCCTGCCATTCAGTCTTCTTGAACCTCTAAACGCAGTTTTGTTAAGTGTAGTGTACTTAGAACCCTTACTGTCTAATGGGATGAACCTGTCGTTCTGGTTATTTTTTTCCCTCTAACGCTGACACATCTTAAAATTATTGATTCTTTAACATTTCGTTAAAAATCGACTGTGAAGAATGTGGGTTAGAACTACTCAAGCACTACATTTACACGTTACTCCCCTCTCCGTGGCTTTAAAGGATAACTTTTCACCAAGTAATGAGATAAAAATAACAAACACGGTGTGCTTTCGATGACTGACGTTCTTCATCTTGTTATCTGTAAGTTCTTAACACCGCCCCGCACCATAGGAATTGGTGCTCTCCTGCAACGAATGTAATGGTTTAACTTAAACTTGGTATCTTTCTAGCTGTAGGTCTGCTTTTTAAACAATGACTCTTCCAAAACAAAGTGGTAGAAAGTTTTGTATTTCCCCATCCTTTATACGCATGACCAAATATTTAGGTTTTTCGCGAGTTGTTATTATAACTCTGAAATACATTCTTATATCTTGGACGATCTTCTACAATACAATGCGTGTGGGTTTGAAACGTTAAAATGGCACTGTGAAGATGCGGTTAAAATTCTGTAGACAAACACACTAAAATCATACTCATCAGGTGCTTAGAGTAAAACCTATCCACAAACATTAAACCAGATGAAGTTAAACATTACAGAGGATTTATTGGACGTCACATTTAGAACTGATGATGTTAAATAAACAGTTTCAAACCATGTGCAACCTTTAGCGCATGATCAAATAAACATTTGAAACCAAGACTGTGTAAGATATCCTTGACATTTATTGTTTACCAGCAAAGGTCTAGAGATTTCGCACATGATTTTGCTTTGTTGTTTAGATTATTAATCTTCCGGTGAAAAGTGTGTTCCTTCTGTTTACTTGATTTCTCGATGACAAATAGCATCACATAATTTAATAGACCATTAATGATTTCTCCGATGATGTCTAATAGCCCATTAATGATTCCTACAATGATATTTATTAGCTCATTAATGATTCCTACGATGATGTCTGATATCCCATTCATGATTCTTACGATGTCTAATAGCCCATTAATGATTCCTTCGATGATATTTAATAACTCATTAATGATTTCTACGATGATGTCTGATATCCCATTCATGATTCTTACGATGTCTAATAGCCCATTAACGATTCCTACGATAATGTCTAATACCCCCCATTAATGATTCCTACGGTAATGTCTAATACCCCAGTAATGATTCCTTTAATGATATTTAATAGCCCATTAGATTCCTACCATGATGTCTAATTCCCCATTGATCATTCCTTCGATAATAATAGCCCATTAATGATTCTAACAATATTTAATAGCCATTAGTGATTACTACCATATTTATTAGCCCATTAATGATTCTTACAATGATATTTATTAGCCCATTAACGATTCCTACCATATTTATTAGCCCATTAATGATTCCTACAATATTTTATAGCCCATTAATGATTCCTACAATATTTTATAGCCCATTAATGATTCCTATAATGATGTTTAATAGCCCATTAATGATTGCTACAATGTTTAACAGCCCATTAATGATTCCTACAATATTTAATAGCCCGTTAATGATTCCTACAATATTTAATAGTCCGTTAATGATTCCTACAATATTTAATAGCCTATTAATGATTCCTACAATATTTAATAGCCTATTAATGATTCCTACAATGATGTTTCAATTTTGATTGGTCTTCCTCTTTTCCTTCCCACAAAGTTTTGTTTGTTTGTTTGTTGTTAAGCACAAAACTAGAGAAGTGCTATCCGCGCTGTAACCACTACGGTTCTTAGCTTTATAAGCCTTCAGACTTACTACTGAGCCACTGGGGGCTCCCACAAAAGAAACACACACACACACATACATATATATATTTCTCATTATTTCAATGTACTACTCGCCAAACCTTTCCCACATTTATATATATGTACTATTTACCTAGCGTCTCACGATATTAGTTATCTAGCTGCCCAACCTTTTCGCTTTTTATTATCAATATACATTGTTTATTTAGGCAACCTTTGAATACTTTAATTACTTACAATTACTATACATTTAACCAGCC